CTGCCCATATCTTATCACCAAAAATATATTGATGCTACCATATTATGTGACCTGTATTGGAATGGCAAGATTAAAGGCCTTTATACCCGTTACATTAGATGTGAAGCTGAAATATCCACTTACCAGTTTTTATGCGCACATAGCTACCCAGGCATGAATCCTCCAAATATATATAAATGTTCCAAATATTGCACTATCCTCAATTTGTATTACATAAAGTAACGACAGATAATTTTCACAAAACTGTACTTGGCGAGCACAAGCGATATTATTTTTGATGTTCTCTGAGTGAATTGCAGAGAAATTTAATGTTCCACGTGAGATGCAGGAGGTTGGAATGAAGATAGAAGAAATTTGCTCCCAGTGAATATTGGAAACAAATTCAGAAGTGTAAATATGACATTCTCAAATAAACATGTTGACTTGACGAGAACACTTTGAGAAGTGTGCTTCTGAAGTGAGAAGTGAGGATGAGAATGATAATGAGAAAGAAGTATTCAGGGCCATTACCGCCATTAAGTTGACTCTTGTTAATAAATAGCACAAGAGTGGTACGTAGTGCTTGGTATATATCAAAGAGCAATTATGTCCTCCTATCCTAAATCAACTTTGCAAAAATAACAAATGAAATTGAGAAATGAAGATCAAATGAGGAAAATACTACAGATTCATAGTGTTGTATAAAGGGGAAACCCCCTCCCTTAGTACATGCATGCTGGACAATAGACATGCATGGTGTTACACGCCGACTGCGAAACCGATTCAATTATCTTGGCTATTCAGGTTTGGCCGCCATTCAGGTTTCATATAATATGTTTAGTATGATCTATTATATTGCCACCTGTTGTCTAGTGTTACTCAGTTCCTGTTGATGTGACTGAGGTATAATGTTGTGATAACCTAAATTAACAGGTTCAAAGTTTGCCCTAGTTTACTCAAAACTATGCTACTATATTGGCTAATTCAATAAAAGTAAAAAAATTATTAGTCAATACTACCATTTAATATCACTTTTCTTATTAAGTGATGTGTGCTATAATATTTATGTATATCATCCATAAACAAAATAGCAAGGTTCCATTATATCTTCATGCTTGTTCTGATCGTTGAAATGAGTTATGACTTGCATCTAACACTTGCATGTTATTGTTTTGTATGCTTTGATCTGCTATTGAGCCAAATGGAATGATTTTGCTGAAATCCTCAAGTGCGGGATTTGTGAGTTGGGGCAGTTTTAAACATTCTTTGCAATGTATTTTCTTTGCCCAACATGTCATCATAGAGTCAACGGATATTGTAGCCACGTTGTACGTATATACAGGACACTCCGGGAATCCTTTGTACAATACTTTGATGCCATAGTTTTCAGAACAAAAGTGGTTTTGGTAAAACTAGAAAACAGGATTTAACATTTACACAAAATAATGGAATGAGTATCTCATTATACTTGACTTAATTTGATTTATGGAGTGTATTGGATCCCCTTCGCTTGTATCTTTCTGGGTCTCTCTCTCTCTCTCTCTCTCTCTCTATCGATCTAACATATCTCTCTTCCTTTTTCTTCTTCTTTTCTCTTTCTCCCTCTCTCCCTCTCTCTCTCTCTTTACTTCTGCGTCACTTTATTTTCGCTCACCGTCATCTCCCCTCCTTTCAGTCGCACAAGTATTTAAAATAAAAACCATGCGAATATTCCTGCATTGAAAAGTTTAGATTTATTCGACTTGAATACAATCAATTTCCAACATGTCAAAAGGAAACCTCTCACGGTTTCCTGGTTTACAAATCTTCGTTAGCACTTGCATAGCAGTATATGTACAACATTCTAGAATAATTAAAATTGACGTAACCAACAGTAAGGCATGCATGATTAAGTACATGGAGACCTTTGTAACTCGTGTTGTGTACCTGTATATGGCATGGGACATCGTGGGAAGTCAGTGAGTGCCAACCACTATAGTACGCAGGATTGTTTCAAGGGGGGGGGGGGGGGGGGGGGGGGGGGGGGGTTAACATTTTTAAATCGGGCCGAAATTTTCGCAACGACTCAACCATCCGCTGAATAAGCACGGGAGGGGGAGGGGGGGGGGGGGAAGAGGACATATTTTTTTTGGGGGGGGGGAGGGGGGTCCTAAAATTTGAAAATTTTCGAGAAAATCGACATTTCGTTCCGTTTGGGTGGGGGGTAAGGTCACCTTTGTTAGGTCACCCATTAGCATCATTTTTTAAATTTTTTGTTATTAAAAAAAAGGGGGAGGGGGTTCCTCCAAAATACACACATAAAGAAAAAAAGGGGGGTTAACCCCCCCCCCCCCCCCCGTACACGCCTGGTGCCAACATAAGGACCGGCCCCACTAGTTATTCACACACTAACAGGATCTCCCCGAACATGTTTGCTCTTTTGATGGGATATTTCAAACGAAGCTGGGATATTACTACAAGTAGTTCCTACTTCAGGACCTTTTGTTAAAAAAAATTAGTTTTCACACGGTACGCTGTCGTCAGTGATTTAAGAAACCGAAACTCAAATTTGTATCTCACTTCTTTATCTTAGTGACAGTGATGTATATCTGCTGTGTCTGCTCATAGACGTAGCGCATGACTAGTAGTTGAGTGATTGAATTGAATTAAATTGAATTGATTTATTGTCCATACAAAATGAAAATTCGTTGATCACTGGTACAGGTGTTACAAACAATGTACATACTTACACAGATTATAAAACATAATAATAACATAACATCATAACAACACAACATCAATGGCGTGACATCCAACAATACAATGTGAGTACTTGCCTAGGAATGGAGGGAAACAATAAAACAAAATACAATGTCTACAAAACTTGCCCCCGTTTTACCCCACTGTTGTAAATGTGAATCGAATCCGGCACAAAATTAACGTCTGAAGCATTCCCGCCTAGTGCGGGAAACGCAGAGGCGAATTCCTGATCGGCTAAAATTATAACTATGGACATTATAGGAGTATACAGTAACTGTTATTCTCGCAATGCTCTTTGGAACTTGTGGATCAATTTTCTTTCTCTAAATTAGGTCTATGTAGTGCCCCACCACGGCCCACACGTTAATAATTTAATCTGACATGTGTAAGAATATATTATAACAATGGTATATGAGGGAGGGGTTTTCCTCCTTTTTTCAATTCGTTATGTATAAACTTCTATTGAAGTTCGCATATAATATGATTATGATTGTTATTGCATTCCATGTACCTCTTTTTATACCTATTTTGTATAGCATGCATCAGTTATAATTTATTTAGAAAATTGCTTTAATATTAGGTTTTATATATCTAAATCTTCGGATGTATTATGGTACATTATATTATTTACTTTACACATTATGTGTCATGTTATTACAAGAAGAATTTTTTGTTTCTTCTGCTGTATATAATTTCCCTTCTGTTTTCCTACACTGCATTGTTAATTGATTTACAATGATTATGTTTACAAACCGAATATTGATTTGTTACATTGCATTGTAATTTGATTATATGATTTAAACTTTATAAACATATTATTGATGTACATCAGTGAAGTTAACTAAATACAATACATTACATGTTATCTCATCTTATCATGACTATATGTTATCTGAAAATGGAAGAAATAAACAGAATCTTAAAAACAAATAGAGGCAACGTCGTATTGTTTACTCCAAAGCTATCATTCACGATCATTGCATTCAGACTATCCTTTGGTATTAAAAATAATTATAATCGAATCTTATGTACACGTGATATACAATTGTCTTATAGAATACCTTTGTTATATAGCTATGTATACATAGTATTCAGGAGAACGGTAATTAATGTAACACATTCATTTGGTATTAGAAAAAAACTATAACCGAATCATATGTACAAGTGATATACATATGTCTTTAAAAATATCTTTGTTAGCTATGTACAGATTATGCACAAGAACGGTAATTTCTATAACACATTATCTTAATGTTGAGCTGCAATGACGTTGTACTGGTGTACTCCTTATCCATGATCGATGTATATTTTGATGCTTGGGCAAGTCTACTGTGTTTGTGTCCTAGTATTGTGGAGTTTCGAACAAAAAATGACATCAAAATGTGTCTTTTCACAAAACATTTCGTCTGATAAAAGTTCTTGCATGGTTATGACAATGAAAATCTCAGATGTGATGTGCGACGTTTCGGACAAAATAGCCCCGATAGCTAGGACTTGCCCTGTAATAGTTTCCAAAATACGACAGTCTTTGCAGCTTATAACGTATACACACACCTACAAAAATTGCATAAAGATGTATTGCAAAATCCGATGTGAAGTCAGAAAGAGAAGAGGGTGAAATAAGATCTTTCTGACTCTTTCACGTTCTGTTCACCCTGCTCCCCCTTCGTGACCAAGGAGCTTCCTTGCTCACAAAGATGGAGGAAATTTGCTCATGAAGTTGCAAAGCGTTCGATTAATTTTCGTCCCTACATTCTCAACTTTCCTATCCAACATATCTACAAGGCAGCACAAAGGGCACGTGCCCCTATATCGGTTGATGATAATTTTAGAAATAGTGAATGAAAAAGCGACAAAGGAGATAAATGAAAGGGAGAAGGGGCAAAGAAAGAGAAATTAGACGCCTGGGCACGCCCTTCTCAGTAGCAGTGGGAATCCGCATTTCATTTTCTGAGTGAAACCGGTGCCCCCCCCCCCCAGCGTTTCAGGCTACGCCACTGATTTCCAATCGTGCATGCAGACCGTATTTGTCTTTGTCTTTGCAAATCCGTGAATAGAGTCACACATAATTATCATAAGCCAGATAGTTGTGATTATAGTATACAGCTCCAATATAGTAAACAAGATGCCAATATTACAGAACATAATGACAGATCCGAGGCCATGGGGTACGTGCACCCCCCTCCCCCCCCCCCCCCCCCCGCCGCCCGCCCGGTCCCCGTCGGCATACCACACATACCCAAAATGGACGTTTACAAACTTGTTGCCTCCCCCCCCCCCCCCCCCTCGTATCCCTCCCCAGCAAAAAGTGGACAAAATGAACCTGGAAGAAGAAAAAATACTCCCCCTGCAAGAGAAGTCCGGATCCTCCACCAAAGCAATGTACTGCGGTTCGCTATTACAACATCCTCATGACAGGTGTGACTGGAACTTGATCCCTAAACTTCCGACAAGGCCTTCGACATCCTTCGTAGCTGTCTTCGGAACTCAACGTCGGGTTGACAGTCGAGATCGGATTCGGTGTCAGAGGGCATGTGCTGAGATGTGGGTTCCCTCCCATGCTCGTCTTCGAATGTGACGTTGTCGGTCGGCTGGTCCTCACTTGCCAAAAGAAAAATAAATAAAAAATAAAATTACCGAGTTAGACGAGTAATTCATCAACTTCCATGCTGAAAGTTAACTTTCATTTCAGGAAAATAATTTAAACAGTACTCATTTCGTTCGTGAAAATTACGGCATATTATTGTCCGCTCGCCAAAAGAAATTAACAAAACTGGCACAGCAAAATGTTATTATTGTCATGTCTAGTAGGGAATATAGTCAATTTATTTCCCCTAATTTAATTTGAACTTTCATTCAAAAACAAACAGTGCTCATGTTTTTAGTTCATGAAAACTAAAGCACTCGTCCGCTTGTCAAAGAAATTAACAAACAAAGCACATCGACAATAATGCTAGTAATTATTTCCAAGTAGGAAAGTATTCCATTACAGTTTTCCATGTAAAAGGTGCATTAAAAGCACCCGCATCTCTGATGTAAATTTAATGAACTGTTAATTCTAGTTCCTCACTACAATTTATTAATAGCAACATGATCAGCTTGGTTCTGTTTCTGTTCACTCCAAACGACTACAAATATGCTCGGCAAAGTATAAGAGAGAAAATTAACAGCTTCAACCGTAATTTAAATGTAATTTAAAATGAATACAAGATACAATTATTTGTTTTAAAATGCATGGATCTATTTAAAGGTACTATGTCCCATTTGCAGGCCAAAAAATAAAAAAGTTAAATTCCAACGGCATTTGAAAGATAATACTATTTTAGAACTTCCCTATAAAAGGGGGGCTTGAAAATGTCTTTAAGTGGGAAAATAACGACTATTAGTTCTCAAATCGACTTAAGAGCTATAGAGCCAGTAAGTAATAGTCTGATTTTTTTGAGACTATTGTACTGAATGGTCAATACATTTTATGCTGCGCAAAGATTCAATCAGTTTAGTTTTGGCCATTACAAGAAGTGGGTTTTTGATGTAGACAAATGCTCATGTAGCCTTTACAGCTCATTTTATGTATGTTATTACCAAAGAAGAAAAAAAGCCAGTCGGTTACTCAATAGTGTCTGACAGTGAAGTCTAGCAAGTAAACAGGTTTTCTTGCATAATTTGAATATTAGGACACCGCTAACGTTTAAATTTCACAGATAGGACATACATGACATATTCATAATTCCTGCAAAGTTCTACAGAATGATGTTGGCTGCAAAAGGGACATAGTATCTGCAACATTTAACTTTCTTTCTCCTGCTTTAGTATTTCCCGAATTTACCTTAGTAGCATATATTTCTTTAAATTATTAGAAGACGATTCGTTGTACCGTTATCGATTCTTAATCCAAATCTGAATGCAGTTTTCCCCCGCCCCTCCCGCGCGAAGCGCGGAAGCCTTGACGTTTCATTAAATTATTAGAGAAAGAAGACAATTCGTTGTACCGTTCTCGACTCTTAATCCATTTTCTTCCTACGTCCTCTTCCTTTCTTCTTTCTCTCTCTCTCTCTCTTTTGGGCCGGCGTATTTTTGGGGGCGACCGCCCCCACCCCCTCCCTGGCTACGCGCGTGCCCCCTCCCGCCTCCAACACACACACAATCGCTTGAACAATATGCGTCCCGTAAGAGTACCGAAGCTGTGTCTTCATAAAAATCTACTTTTAGAATTTGAACTTCATTTTCCGCAAGAGCATAACAAATAATGTCCAAATGTCAACAACCAACTGAATATGTAATTAGGTATTGGCTGAGATTTGACCATCCGAATAAATAGAGTTCAATAGGAAATCACTGTTATTTTGCTCTTGTTCATAACATTACAAAATAGTTTTTGATGACGTCACACTGTCTTGACCATTGATAGTCTTACCTCGAAGCTAAGATTTCACTCTTCTCTCCATCCGTGACTGCTAATTCTAGCTCTGAGACATCCGCCTTCAGATGAAGCTCTGTCTCAGATACAGTGGACCCCTTCTCGATGGAACCATCAGGTGTCTTCATCAGCTGGTACTGACAATCCTTCAGTTCTTCCCCTTCAATGGACAGCACCTTAACAGGAGCTTCCCCTAGATGATAGGCGCAGTAGTTCCGAAGGCACAGGTAGGAAGTAATGGCGACGAAGACAATCAGCAGCCCTAGGATCAGCATCCACTGGTGGTTACCGCCCGACGACGATGACGACGCCGACTGTCTGGTGAGCATGACCGTGCCAACGACCACCAGGGCGATGCCGGCGATACTGAAAACGACAGATAGGATGACACAGCTCTTGAGACAAGGCTCTCGAAGCGTTTCGCACTTCATCTTGGAAACTTCGGGCAGGATCGACGGAAGTGAAGGCAAACAGCACTTCTTCTGTGGCTCTTTGGGAGTGATTGGTGCGGGCCTATGGCTCTCAGGCTTTGGTCGATTCAAGTATGCTTCTGTATCAGCATGGCCAAGGATGATGCCAATGACAGTTTCATCGTCGAGGACACATGGGGCGTACATTGTTTTGCCTGTATAACAAACTTCAAGATTTCGCTGAAGGATTATCCATTCTATACCACTGATTCAGTACAAAGCGATAGCATGGGCTCAGGACAACATGGCGGGAAAGCCGCACCAGTGCTAATGTCGTCTGTTTTTTGTGGTGAAACAATAAAGGCAGCTATGGTGATGATTACTTTGGCGAGAGTTCGCATCCCACGCAATCCAACCATGCCCTTGCAGTATATCCAATATCTATAAAACTATGACAGAGTAAAGTAAACGTACCAGGGTTCTTCACATAATTATCAAAACACAGACAGACTATAGTGAAGAGAAAGGTGGGAATATATATAGTCCTGGTCCATGAGAAAACGAGAGATATTACAGGAATCCAATGTCAAGTCAATCTGCCCGGTCGACACAACAAAAATAAGTGCGGCCTTGAGAGTCGTCACCTCTCTATTATACATACGAGCATTTTATGTTTTCTTTACAGTCACTGTCGACGAGAAACCGTACACCGCTTTCTTCTCAGTAATACCACCCGTGAATTATTCGGAAATACCATCATAACGATATTGCGGTGTATTATTGCGAGAATCTGCACGTTTGACGTTACATTGTTACCCGGCCACGGCTGAGGGAGCATCTATACAATGTAATATTTGCTTCATGTATCCCGAATAATTAATTTCCGCGTTCAATAATAAATGGGTCTGATGTTGCCAGTTAGCAAGTCAACATGATGTTTACTAGCTGCCTCAGACGATTGTGATCGTATCAGAGAGGAAGTCCCCTTTAAAACTAAATGACAACGAATAGAGAAAAACAGGAATACAACGGATATTTCTCAATCTCTAAATTTCTCTTCTCAAGGTTTGGTTACATATACTTCCTTAAAAAATTATTAACAAAACTCGCAGTAGCCTTGTACATTGCTTGTGCTAGTTTCATGTTTTGATTTCGTTTTGTCTATGAGTTTTATATTTCTTTCTCTTTTTTTTTGGCGAGGTCAATGTATTAGACATCATCAACAGACTAGGGTTCGATGACAATAACTGCGCCGTGGCTATACTATCTTTCTCCCTTTACCGATATAAGCCGATTAGCAGGTTGATAAATTAATATATTTATATTGTGCCACCCCCTCCAGATTCAGTCGATGGGGTTATGCTCTTTTCTAGTTTATGACATGTAAAATCTTGGCAAAATAATTATCAAGTTTAAACAAAAAAAAACATAATGAAATATGCTTTTTCTAACATGCTACGTAACAAAAAGCAGATTTGTGTAAAATGATTTTGAGGAAATGGAGAGGATTACTATCTCAGACTGATTTCCTACGTAGGAAGGTTTTTTGATACACAGCGCGAGATGGCAAAATACAGACTTGACAAGAATAGGTATATAATTATAAAAGACGAAATAGAGACCCTGGAATTAATGACGACCACGAAATCTATAATAATGAATATTAATCTGCTTCATTTCCTTACATATTTTGTACTATTTATTTTCTCTCTTTCTCTCTCTCTCTCTCTCTCTCTCTCTCTCTCTCTCTCTCTCTCTCTCTCTCTCTCTCTCATCTAACAATAACAAAATGTGACCTAACAATATTATTACCAAACGTTCTCCTTTTCTTTTGACGTGTTATGCTTTTTACCATGCATGCCTATAATGTTTATTCTCTACCTATTTCTCATCATGATGAAATTAATGTATACAAATTACGATTGAGATTGCCCGTTTACTATCAGAGCCATAGAAGAGTTTGGCCAACTCGGTTCGGGTTGAGCACAATATGGCAATTACTGCTTTGTTGGGCAAGCACCAAAACAAATAATATACGCCATTTTGACCAACTACTGAAACCAACCAAGGAGCTTATCTTTGGCCAAACTAACTCTCTTGGCTCTTCATGGCCTAGTCGTCTGCCGCCCACTACAGTCAGTACACTGATATTAGTTGCATAATGGACATCACAGTTTCGGTTTCTCATTGCATTTTATATTCCCTAATCATTGGCGTATCGAAGGGGGGGGGGGGTGCTTGGGGGTGTTCCCGCTTATTCACCGGCTGGCTGATCCGCCGCTAAATATTTTCTCACGAATTGGGAAAAAAAATAGTGCCCCTTTTCCTTTTTGATAAGTGCACTTTTTCCCTCTGATAAGTGCCATTTTCCCTTTGTAATAAGAACCCCTTCTCTTTCTCTTAATAAGAGCCACTTTTCACCTCCGATATGTGCCCCTTTTCCTTTCTAATAAGTACCATGTTTCCTTCGGATGAGTGCACCTTTACCTTTTTTTTAATATGAGCCCCTTCCCCTTTTTAAAATGCCCGTTTTCACATCTGATAAATGCCCCTATTAAAATCTGATAGGTGCAATTTTCCTTCAACAGCCTATGCCCCATTTCCATTCTCGCAAATGCCTTCTTTTTTTATTTTTTTAAATCTCTGTTGAGTGTCCTTTAGCAGGTGCAAGAAGTGCCCCATTTCACCTCTGATAATTGCCCTTTTTACTTTGACACGTGTTCATTTTCCCTTCTGATATAATTAGTGCCTATTTTTCCTTTTCCACTTTAGGTTTGATTGTAAAATTATTCCGAGGACTTTGGCTTGATGAACATAAATAAATTCTTTGTCGCCAAATAAAATTGAAGTTTGTTCTTCACAATTTTTCATAATTTTTTCATAAATGTTATAACCGACGGCTTGAAGTCCTCTCCGAGGACTTAAAGCCCCTTTTTCTTTAATTTTCCCTAGAGCTCGCTCGCATTTATAGTTGTTATAATTATGTCACTTATAAAAGTACTTTTCAGTCTTTCTGCATTAGATTGTGTTTAAAACTCATCAGGGTTTGTTTTGTTAAACCTCTTTATGAGATACGATAAATTTTCGCACTGCGACCTCACAAAACCTAATTTTTTGTTCGCTCGAAAAATTAATATTCAGACCATCACACCCAACTGCAAAGTATGTTGCTTAAGCAGTATCTTGGACCACGAAAGGAGAGAAACAAATATTGATGTCTTCCTTAATTGGTAGTGTAATCACAGTCATGACGATGTAGGGGTTTTATACTAACGTCTAAAAATGGTGTTTGTCTACTTTGAGATTTTCCTTTGAAGGTGCCCATTTATTTTCCAGAAATTGCCCCTTTTTGATGGTGCCACCCCACACTTTGGAAGACGCCCCGCCGCCCCTGAATGGTCGCCTAACTATATAGTTACTAGTTGACAACTAGGCTAAGTAAAGTTTTATTAGTATTATGAACCCTGATCATGCTGATCTATTCATAAAATTATTGTGACAATATGATTAATTATTGATAGATAAAGGATAACATTAATTTTCTCAGAAGACAGAACTTCATTGATCGATCTCTATGGCTCTTAAGATTGATCACTACATTTCGGAGAACATGATTCATGAAACTTTATCTATCAAGAATAAATCATTGTCACAATCATTTTAATGAAAAGAGATCAAAAAGAAAAAAATATTCCAACTTTATAATAGGCAATAGTGAAGGCCTACCTACATCGGAATATTTTAGGTAGGCCTATAATAGGCCTACATGACGTATCTGAGACAGTGCCCCGTCTTAAAGAAGGAAAAGAAAAGAAAGGTAAAAACTAGAGAGAGAGAGAGAGAGAGAGAGAGAGAGAGAGAGAGAGAAAAAAAAAAGAGAAAGGAGGGGACAAAAGGGACATAAAAAGATGCCCTAATTTGAAAATGCTTGGAACCCCCTCTGTCCACCTGTCCACGAATCGTGCTATCAAAATATACCATTTTCATCATGTAATTATATGTAAATGTAATGCACTATTATTTCATTCACTGTTGCTAGGTTGGACCATAATGGTTGGACGAGCCATAATGTTTGTAATCACAGTGGCGGATCCAGGGGGCCCCCTCCCCTGGGAAAAAACAGGTAAAAACACGTTACCTTTATTTGGAAACGGGCCCCCTCCTCTGGTGCTCAAGGGAGAGGGGGGTACGATTTTCAAATTTTCGAGGTCAAAACAAAAATTAGTTTCTCATGAATTGGGCCTCCCCTGCCGCCGGCTGAAACCGCGCTTGTGCACTCAAAATTGTATGTTTCCTACCATTTTATCAAAACTTTGTATTATATACCCTTAATGTATGCAATTCGCATTGAGATACAATTATTTGTAACAGGGTGAAGAAAGATTGATGCATCATTTTTTAACTTTGACTACATTACGAAAATGGTATTTTAGTTGGTGCCTCCTCGTATAGGCCTATATTGGTTGACGCTACGCCGCAAGGAGTACGGTATATAGTTAGCTCAGATTACTTATAAATCACCTTAAAAACCAGAGTACACTGTACTATTTTTTTTATTTCTAGGCAGCTACTTCTGGTCGGATCCGGGCTTACTCGGACCAGGGGACAACTCGGCCCAGCTGCAAAAAAATTGTCATTTTTTGTCATTTTACCCTAACTCTAACCCTAACTCTAACCTTAACCCTAAACCTAACCCTAAACCTAAACATGCAAAAAAATGACCGTTTTTACAGGACCCCCACCCCCCCCCCCCCCCCCCCCCTCCCTTTGCGGATGTAGCTCTAGCTAGTAGCCTACAAGTGCATACTAGCAGGGAGGTGTTTTAAAATACTAGCAGAGAAACGCAGAGACAGTCTGTGTAGTAACCAACCCTAACATATTTCAAGGACCGTTCGTGGACCTGCTATGTAATATGCCCGCAATAGTACTGCATGCTATATATATATTGATAAAGCCCGCTCGAACCATTATTTATTTGTTAAAAATCCTGAAATCGATGACCCACCTTGCTGTCATGATGACCCTGAATACAAAAATATGAGGCGATGTCGCTAGTCTATCATCTGATCTGTAATCTGAAAATAAAACGTAGAATTTTTTTTTGTGTGGATATCTTACCACTTTTTTAGGATTAGAAAGTAGTTTATGGCATCTATAATATTTTTTCTAATTTGAATTTTGAATTCAGAATTTGTTTTCTTTCGCAAAAATAATCGAAAGCTAGATTTTATTTAATTTGGTTTTGAAAAAATAGACTATCATCAGACTGCACAGCACGTGCAACTACGGAACGAGCACATATATACCGGTACTATATGGCTTCACGTACTACGTACGCGTTCAGTGCATGCATGCTGGACCAACGTACATTATCGAGGCTAATCAGCTAGCTTGAGTAAAATAAATGTCAAGATTTTGGGCTTTTATCTTAGAAGGACGAGGGATGATGCCCTTGTCGTCTTAGCCACGACTGGACCTGATTTGTAATTTTGGGACTCCGTTAGCAGTGATATTTTGTCTGGGTTCGTCTTCAGTGGATGAGCATTTCTTGCCGTGGAATTTTATTTTTTACTGCACTGGATCAGACAACGGGTTGGTGAGGACATTGCAAGCTCTCATCTCTCGGTGATCGCTCTCGATCGCATTCCACGCCCCACGCGATAGGCGTGGCTTTGGTCTGCATTTCTCATTGTTACATCTGGCATTAACTTTCTAGTTCTACTTCCAAGGTGGATTCACCATGCTCTGTAGTCTGGAATTAATTTCTGATTATTAAACCAAGCTCAGGTAGCTTATTCCCTTTTCAGCTCAAATTCATTCCGTTTCCAAAGATTCAGTCACTGATCCAAGATGGATATAAAAAATGCACTGAGTTTGTACCACGAGAGTGGAGCCTCGTTTGACACAGATTTCCACGGCCGATGGCTCCGCGAGAACTGGTGGGTGTCCCTG